CAGAGCAAATAGAAATAAAATAGCTTTTTTCAATTCTTTATATATAAAAATAAAATAAAAATTTATAAATAAGTTATAAATTTAAAAAAAAAAATAAGTAACCTACAAAATCAATTATCTCGAAAAACACGTTTTGTGGTTGATTATTGCCCTAAAGTGACTATTCATGATGCAAAAACAAACTAATATTCTCTTTCAACAAGTCACTTCCCTACGCAACTAATTTTACTATGCACAAAACATAGCAGAGTTTTAATTGGAATATATTAACTTTTTTATATTAATGAGTGGTGTACTCATCAATATTTTTGACTTATGATTACTTTATTCGTTTTAATTAATTTATCGTTTTTTAACTTGATATAAAATTTAAGAATGTAAAAAATACTTTTGAATCTTGTAATTTTATAAAAGATATATCAAATATATAAAATACTTTTTAATCTTATAATTTTAAACATATCATGTAAGTTTTTCTATATGCTTAAAGATTATAAAGAAATTTTACATTATTAAATTATCTAAAATATGAGTAATAATTATGTTGCAGTCTCACACAAATAGCTAGGCATAAGCTATGTATATAGTAGATACGTGAATTCGTGATGGAGTTATTAAATTTTGATTAAGGAAATTCAAATTATAAAGAAGTAAACACAAATGATTTGAATTAAATTTCTTACCTAAATTTTCAGTGAAAAGGTATAAATTGACACTCAAGCTCCTTATATAAGGATGACTCCACGGCTAACGTAAATCTAGTAGCTTTAACACATCCTAAATATATATTTTTTTAAAATAATTGACTCACGTGAACTCAATAAACTTGAGATTGCTCAAATCTTGAACTCACCTCTTCACATATGTGAATCTTCATCAATTATGATTCTCCTTTAATTAACTCTGCCTACGTGAGGTTGATCACATTATCGATTAAAAAATTATTATTTTTAAAAAAAAGGTTACAATGTGTTGATAGTTAGTATCAAAGCTAATCAATTTACGATGAATTCTCACTATAAATAACTATCCATAAATAATATAAAGGTAAGATTACTAACTTCAAAATAAGCAAAATTATTTATTATAATAGACTAAATTACACTGATAATATAAATGTGATAATATATATACATAGTCACCATTAGCTGTCGTTTATGAGTAAGAAGACCATCTATGCCGTATTTGCGTCCACGTTCATTTAGTCTTCCTAATCTGTCCTTATTGCTGGGTCCATGTGCACCCTTCAATTATTCAAACTAAAAATATGTCATCCTCACATTATATTTTCAACTTTAACCCTCATTATCACTAATCATTTATTTAATTTGTTCCCATGAATTAGAACTTTGTCATCCCTCAATTATTAATAAATTATAATTTTAATCCTTATAATATTTCATTTAATATATTCAACCTTCAATTAATTGAAATGTGTGACGCTGTTGATCCTTTTAGGTAAGATAATATTGTATATGCGTTATTTTTAAAACTATGTTACTCTCAAGTCTCAAGTATGGAGTAACAATACAAGTTAACTCGCCTGGAATTGAAGTGTGGACAGGTTCTTTTGGAGTTAGCTCATCCTAGTATCGGAATTGAATCAGAAAGCAAGACAAAATATGCTCGTACTGCTGTAAAACGAACTTCCCTTGAATTAATTGCTAGTGAATAGTAGTGAAATTTCTCTTTTTGGTTGCTACACTCCTTTCTTATTCTTTTTTTTTCTCTCGCTAAAGTCAAGCTAGCCTCAACATATCGAACAATATAGACTTAACATAACACATGAGTAACTACATAGATGGAACAATTGATATTCACAAGCAAATGGATCAAAAGTGCACATTTCAACTAATTAAAGATCAAATATGCTTAATCAGATATCATAAGGACTAAAATCAGAATTCATAAATAACCTAGGGACTAAAAATGATACAAATGCTTGTTGCCACAAATGTCATATGACACCCTTTTTGTAAATTCACCAAATTAGTCAATTATTGTTACTCTTATACATGCTTTAAAAAACCATAATATGTAAAACATAAAAACAACAATAATAAAAACATGGCTCTAGCCAAAAATGGTGCTGAAATTCCCCTGTTACCAAAAACAGAACAAACTCTGTTTACAAGGGAAAATCAGCAGCTGATTTTGAGGGCAGTGTTCAATGTATCGACGAGTATAATTGGTGCTGGGATTATGTCTGTTCCAGCAACTCTTAAGGTTTTAGGTGTAATCCCAGGTTTTGTTTTGATTATTTTGGTTGCTCTTTTGGTTGACATATCAGTAGAGTTCATGTTGAGGTTCACGTATAGAGGCGAATCGAAAACTTATGCTGCATTGATGAATGAGTCATTTGGGAAAATTGGTTCTGTTGCAGTTCAAATATGTATCATGATAACAAATCTTGGTTGCTTGATCATGTACCTTATTATTATTGGTAAGTGTACATGATAATAAGCTATGAATTTTGTCGTTGATTTGTTGTTAAGTAGCTCGTAGCTAACATGATTTTTTTGATGATTAGTTTTTAATCCTTTGTTAAATAGGACTATTGACAGATTTTTATTGTTTAGTGACAGAAGTTGTCCCCTGCTAATTCTTGTAAATGTGTGTCCAAAGGCGGGGCTAGGTTCAGACGAATCCAACAGTTTTTCTGTAAACCCTGTATTTGTACAAGAAAATTAAATAAATATATATATGTATATTAACTTGTGAACTCTTAACAAAATTGATTGACGGTTAAGTGGTAAGGAACATACCGTGAAAATGTTTTTCACGCTAGAGTTGTAGCTCCGAACCCCCTCTCTTTTTAAAAAAAAAGAAATTTAGAATCCCCAGACTCTTAATCTTGGCTCTGCCTCTGTGTCACATGCTTTGTCTGATGCAAAGTCATTATCAAGCTTTTCTTCAACTTTTAGAGAAAATTTACTTTTTTTCTTTCTTTTTGTTTTCATACTAAAATCATACTAAACTAAAAAAGAAAGCAATTATTAGTGGGCGTTTGACCATGTTTTCATTATATAATTTGAAAAAAAAAAAGTAGTTTTTGTTTTCAAAGTAAAAAATGATATTTGAAAATATGTTATTTTCTATGAGTAGGAGATGTTCTTTCTGGACAAGGAGAACATCTTGGTGTTCTACAAGAATGGTTTGGGATTCACTGGTGGAACTCGCGTAATTTCGCGATCCTCTTCATTGTCTTGTTTGTTATGCTCCCTCTCGTCCTCTATCGACGTATTGGTCAGTAAATACTACCTTTTTCTTGACAAAAATTTCTACAAAATTAGTGAAAATATTATTGCTGACATTCTTTTATGTGGCTTGTGATTGATTGTAGAATCATTGTGGTTGAGTTCAGCATTAGCTGTTCTACTAGCAATTGTATTTGTTGTCATATGTTCAGTTATGGCAATCACAGCAATACTAAAAGGGCAAACAGTAAGTCCAAGAATGTTACCTAAGATGGATGATGAAACATCTTTTTTTAACCTTTTTACTGCTGTTCCTGTCATTGTTACAGCATTTACATTTCACTTCAATGGTAAGAATCCGATATTGATCTTTTCGATTCTTGTTTAGTATTTCAAGGCGTAATACGTAAACAGACACACAAACTTGGCCTCAAGTGAATAAATACTCCAACTTTGAGTATATATGCATATCTAGACACCACAACTCGTCTCCACTGTGTCAGTTGAACACTCCGACTTACAAAATGATCATCTAGACACCAATGACTAATTTATGTGACATTAGCCACGGACCACGAGGCACAGTGGGGATGAGTTGGAGTGTTTAGTTGTCAGTTGAGACTAAGTTGAAGTGTCTAGACGTGCACTGTCAAAGTTGTAGTACTTACGTTACTTGTCAGTTGAGGTCAAGTTTGAGTGTTTGTTTATGTTTTATGGCTGAATTCTTTGATGAACGTGACGTTATAACTTGTTTGCAGTTCATCCGATTGCAACTGAGCTGGGAAAGCCTGCAGCTATGTCTTCTGCTGTCAAGATTTCACTAGTACTATGTGCAGCTATCTATTTTTCAATTGGGATTTTCGGGTACCTTCTATTCGGGGATTCAATCATGCCAGACATACTTGTAAATTTCGACAAATCATCTGGTACTTCAGCGATAAGTTCAATGCTAAACGTTGTAGTTCGTCTGAGCTATGCATTTCACCTAATGCTGGTGTTTCCCCTCTTGAACTTCTCCCTGAGAACCAATCTAGATGAACTCGTATTCCCAAAGAAGCCCTTTTTGGCAACTGACACCAAACGATTCGTGTGTCTTAGTTTAGTCTTGTTAGCCTTCTCATATGTAGCAGCCATTTTTATCCCATCTATATGGTACATTTTCCAGTTCATGGGAACAACAACAGGTGTTTGCATTGCCTTCATATTTCCAGGTGCAATCGCCCTGAGGTATCTGTCTTTCTCTCATTCATATTTACTCCTCTCTCGCGTTTTTAAAGTTATTTTCGTTCTTTTTTATGCTAACATATTGATTTTTCCTGTTTCGCAGAGATGTTCACGGTATATCTTCAAGAAAAGATAAGATCATTGCAGTGATCATGATTGTTCAAGCAGTTGTGACTAGCTTTGTAACAATTGCTACTAATATCTACAATATGAGTGGAAATACACCATAGTTTATAGCTTGTCAATTCTTTTTTCGTAGATGAGTTCGTTTGTATATGTAACACCAGAAAATGTCCAACATATATCAATGAATACAAATTTTTTAAATCAACGAAACACACGGTCATCGATAGTAATAAAACAATTTCACATCAATATATATTGAGATCTGTGTTCTGTTTCTTAGTTCTCTCCTATCAAGACATTGCATACCTTATTGTACTTTGGCTCCTAAAGCTCACCACGCCCGGGGCAACTTGCACACACCTCAACAATTTCAAGTATCGGGTAACTCTATCCACCAAAGCTTAGACAGATGAGAAAAAATCACCAGTGTTTTTGCCTCCGGAGGGATTTGAACAAGAGAGATCTCATTGTTCTCAACACATATATCATATGCATAGGTCAAACTTTATGTTTCTTATTTTTGTTAGTGATGACAGAAGCTCTTGTAATCTGAACGGCTAAATGAGGATTCTCGACTGCAAATGCATCAAATTTAGGTGTGAAGACAATGCCCTCGACGTTCTTAATGATGAAGATCATGGCCTCCACCTTCAAATGTGAGTAAGATTTATATGTCTCCGAAATCTCCAAAAGCTCAAGAGCATTCGATGTGTTCAAAGATCCTAACATGTGGTGCTCACAGTATTTCTGCAAGAGTTTGATTTCATACTTGTCTGCTGCAATTGACAATGTGTAGACATGTTTTTCCAATTTCTCTTTAGGCAATTCTCCGCGATAAAGAAACTCAAGGAGAGCATGCAGCTCCACGTAGCTCAGCTCTGCCAGTGTTATTGTGTGACCCGGGGGAGCTTTGCACGCATCCGAATCCAACATGAACTTGAAAATAACAGAATTTGCTGACTGTTGGATCACAACAGCATATGGTCATTAACATCAAATAGAATAAGCGATGAATTTTTGCTCTTTAGCTAGGGTGTGCTTGGTATAGAGGAAAATATTTTCTCGAAAATGCTTTCCAATTTTTTGATGTTTGGTTGATCAAATGTTTTGAATTATTTTGTTTTTGGAAATACAAGTTCCTTAAAAATCAGGAGAGACCTCTTTGACATAAGGAAAATAAGTTCCATAAGTGACGTTTTATGTTGATGGTCTCCCCCCATCTCCAACTCTCAACCTAACCTCAGTACTCCCACTCCCTCCACCCCCACCCATCTCACCTCCACTCTCATAGTGTTTACAACGACAACATACCCAGTGTAATCCCACAAAGTGGCGTCTGGGGAGGATAAAGTGTACGCAGACCAGACTTCTTCCTCAGAGGTAGAACACTCTCATAGTGTTTGCCTTTTTATATTTAAATGCTCTTGAGACTATTTTTGTTCACTTACCACACAAACCATAAAATAAGTAAGAAAATCACATATTTCCCATTAAAAATTTTTTTTCGTGGAAAACACTTTCCTTTATACCAAACACACACCGCCACCCTTAGCTATAGAAGTTGTCTGTCGCTAATTACTAATATTGTTTTGGTAGTATATGTTGATACAAAAATTGTAACAAAATTGTAAATATAGAGAAAAGATGGCTACATACCAGAAGAGACTTGTGTGCTGCTATTGAGGGGCCATTGTTTCCAGGTTTAACAAGAATATCTTTATGAACTTGACCTTTAAATGCATTAAGACAACTACTGAGATAGTTAACCTTCTCCTTCATTTCACTCGCTCGTCGCAAGGCAAGTGTAAATCCCTGTGGAACAATCAATTATAAGCAACTTCAAATTTCTCTACATGTTTGGTATGTTGTAAAATGTTTTCCAAAAAATGACTTTTTTTTCTATGGATTCGTCTCTCTAGAAATTGCTATCGACTCAAATGAGGCAATCAGTTTTAATAGAAATTATCACAATTTTGCACTAGTATTGTGAATGACATTGAGTATAGTTTCGAGATTTAATGGGACACTTACTACCTCTCAGGTTCCAAGTAACTCTGTTCACCAAGACTTGGATAAGACAACTTTGGATAGATGGAAAGAAACAACTTGCACGCATCTTGACTAATACCATGGGACACCTATCACCTATCCACTAGCACAGATACCGAATAACTTTATCCAATAAGGCTTTGGACAGAAGGGAAGAAAGCACCTAGTTTGTTGGCCTCCGTTGAAAATTAAACCTAGACCTCATGGTTCTCAATCCTTTCATTGACCACTAGGCTATACACTCGAGAAATAACCCTAGTTCTCTGGCCTCCGCTGGAAATTGAACGTAAGACCTCATGGTTCTCAACATTTTCATTGACCACTAGGTTATACAGTAGGGAAATCACCCTAGTTCTCTGGCCTCCGCTGTAAATTGAACCTCAGACCTCATTGTTCTCAACCCTTTCATTGACCACTAGGTTATACACTCGGGAAATCACCCTAGCTCTCTGGATTCCGCTGGAAATTGAACCTCATACCTTATGGTTCTTAACCTTTTCATAGACCACTAGGCTATACACTGGAGAAATCACCCTATTTCTTTGGCCTCTGCTGTAAACTAAACCTAAGACCTCGAGGTTCTTAACCCTTTCATTGACCACTAAGCTATACACTCAGGAAATCACCCTAGTTCTCTGGCCTCCGCTGGAAATTGACTTAAGACCTTATGGTTCTCAACCTTTTCATTGACCACTAGGTTATACACTCGGGAAATCACCCTAGATCTCTAGCCTCTACTGGAAATTAAACCTAAGACCTCATGGTTCTCAACCTTTTCATTGACCACTAGGCTATACACTCGGGAAATCACCCTAGTTCTTTGGCTTCGCTGGAAATTAAACTTAAGACCTCATGGTTCTCAACCTTTTCATTAACCAGTAGGTCATATACTCGGGAAATCACCCTAGTTCTCTGGCCTCCTCTGGAAATTGAACCTAAGACCTCACGGTTCTCAACCCTTTCATTGACCACTAGGCTATACACTCGGGAAATCACCCTAGTTCTTTGGCTCCGCTGGAAATTAAACCTAAGACCTCATGGTTTTCAACCTTTTCATTGACCAATAGGTCATATACTCAGGAAATCACCCTAGTTCTCTAGCCTCCACTGGAAATTGAACCTAAGACATCACGGTTCTCAATCCTTTCATTGACCACTAGGCTATACACTCAGAAAATCACCCTAGTTTTTTGGCCTCCGATGGAAATTAAACCTCCCCATGGTTCTCAACTCTTTCATTGACCACTAAGCTATACACTCAGAAAATCACCCTAGTTCTCTGGCCAGGAAATTGAACCTAAGACCTCATAGTTCTCAACACCTTCATTGACCACTAGGCCATACATTCACACGCTTCTCAATCTGAATTTGTTTCATAATATCTAGAAGAAAAGATCAAATTAATTAATCAAAAGAAAGAGATCATATACATGCCTTACTAACAGATAAGTTGGATGAAGAAGTATTAGCTGCATGATTTGTAGAATTGTTGACAGGTCCTCTTGTATTTGCACTGTTATTATCAGACTTGGTACTGGTTAATAAGGCATGTATGGCTTTAGCTCCATTAACACATCCTTCACATAATTTATTCCTTGCTGACAAACCACATATTTCACAAGGCATCTTCCCTACATAAAACTCAAAAATATAAGCAAAAACAGAGAAAACAGAGAGCACTTGACAGTTGGTCCTTTTAGCCTATGTTACTTGGACTCTTCAAAAGTGTTGCATTGTTGCCAAACTTGTGTCGGATTCTCCAAATATGCACTACTTTTGGAGGATCTGACATGCACCTGACCCTAACGACATCTTTGAAGAGTCCGAGCAATATAGCTTGATGAAGTTTTTCACTCAAATTGTTTGAATGGTTGTTGGAGACGGAGTCAGGATTTTCACTAAGAAAAAATTGAATATAAAAAAAGTAACACACAAAGAAGGGTGAGCATCAAATGGATTAGAGTTATTACAAAACTAGAAGAGGTTTGATTCCTCTTTGATGTTAAGGAAAGGCTAAGCAAGTTCAACATCTACTATTTATACCTAAAAATAATGTTTCATTGTTTCATTATAATGTATGCTTTGCACTAATAGTATATTAGCTAAAATGAAGTTAAAATTAGCATGCATCATTTGAATTTGACATAGTTCATCTAATTTTCACATAATGCATTCAATCAATAAAGAAGTACTCTTCCGATCACATTAAATTCAACAATAATAACATATTCAGTGGAATCTGATGCAACCTTAGGCTACCTATCACATCTACACACCACCCAAATAAAGCATATGAGATCACATATGGAAATTAAACTAGAATTATAATCGGAAATTTGATTATAACAAATCCTAAAACAGAATTTAATAGTAACTAATTCCAGTTTTCTGATCCCCAATTTAATAATAGAATTAAAAATAAAAATAAAATACAAAAATTTATAAGGTATTTAATTATAAAATCCGAATAACTAACCAATTTCTGTGTTTATCGAAACAAAGTTCATAACGCTTTGCAATTGCATGCCTTTATAATTAATTTGCATGGTAAAATAGCCCTAATGGGCCTTTTCATGGGCTGGGCCGGTTTCTTTTTTAATTTTTATTTATTTTGTGCTCAAATTTTAAATGAACAACTTTCACATATAGCAAACATAAAAATCATATTTGAATGCTATAGTTATAGTTTGCATAATTGCGTTTCATAGCAAACTTTACTATTAATATGTATATTTCGCTATACATATACAAAAGAAATCAATTGTATAATTTGTTTCGGTATACATATACAAAAGAATCAATTGTATAATCTCTGTTTGTATAAAGCGAGAAAGAGAGAAAGACAAAAGAAAACTAGGCAGGGGAAGATCGTATTTGTATAATCATAAGTGTATAGGACGAAAATATATGCATTTGTATATACAATTTTCTCTCGCTTTATACAAACACAAACGCAATGTATACATTTGTGTTTGTATAAAGTGAGAGAGGCGAGTGAGAGTGGCGAGCGAGATCTGGGAGATAGGAGAGAGGGGAACGAAAATATATGTATATATACAATTTTCTCTCGCTTTATACAAACACAAACGCATTTTATACATTTGTGTTTGTATAAAAGCGAGAGAAGCGAGGGAGACTGCCTAGCGAGATTCACCAGGGTGAGAAGCAAAATAACAACAGTTTGCTATGGAGTACAATTAAATCAAACTATGGTTATAACATTTAATTTGAATTAATAGTTTGCTATTATATACAATTTTCTCATTTTAAATTGAGAAAACTTCTAAAATAGCAAACATAATAAACATAAAAGGCTCTGTAGCTATAGTTTCAGTAATTAATTAATGCCGATAAAGACTTTTAATGTGTATATTTATTGTCATTGAAACTTATTTTTGTTATATAGTGTATATAGCTTGATTGGTCGAAACTTCTGAAATGTTATATTTATAAAGAAACCATTTGTTTTAGAAACAAAATGTGTTTGGCCAAGTTTTTGCGGAAGAAATAAGTATAAGTATAATCAATGAGTTTAACTTAGTTCTAAGAATGTTATAGGTCAAATCTATTAAATTTAAGTTCTCAATTCACCTTTCACTATGAGGATGAAAAAAAGCCCCAACTTTCAAGTGTGTAAGTATAGACAATTTGTTAAAAAAAATTTTTATGTAATTTTTATATTTAAACACAATTTAATTTTAAATTTATCATATCACTATCAATGGCATAATTTTATATAAATGCATAATTGTCAATGACATATTTTAGTCCATAAATTTCAAGTTCTATTTCCTAATGAATTGGCTTCACGATAAAAAAAAAATTAAAAAAAAAAATTGACTTCACAATGAGGTAGTATTGGAATTTTGTTTTAAAAAAAATTGATGAAATAATAATTTTCGATGAAGAAATGTCTTTTGAATGAAAAAATGTGTTCCTTTCCTTCTTTGGTTATCACTCAATTATTTAAATTCAATTTCTTGTAATTTCTAATATAACTTTTACCGAAAATGTTTATTTTCAATATTTTTCAAAGAAAAATTCTTCTCCAACCTTCTGCTCAAAAAATATTAAGTCCAAATTCTTGCTTTTCAATAAAATTTCTTTATTGTTTGCTTGGTGCAAAAAATCAAATATCCATTGAATTTATTTACGTACAATCTCACAGAAGAGAGGGAGAAAATATTGTTCTAGTTTTGCACATTTCAAATCCTTAATTCTTTTAATTCATTGTTTATATTGTCAAATCTTCGTCTTTCTGTTCTTCGTATATTTTTTTTGTTCTTGATATATATATATATATATATATATATGTTTTCCAATAGCTACTTCAACCAAATCAGAATTCTTCACTAATAACATCATTATTTATAACAGATAGGCACTTTGAAACAATGGCAAAGTTAGCCTAAGTTACGAGTTTAGTAGAATTCAATACCTTTGGCTCAATTCCATATTTATAATAAAAGATTATTTATATATTATTATCCAAAATACATTATAGTTTAGATTCCATGAATAAAAAATCTTAGTTTTTAAGGGCAAATTGTAGGGCCGATTCTAAAGGGTAGAAAATAAGGGAGGTGTCTTAGACCCCAACTTTAAGGGCCCCTATCTTTTTAGCGATTATAAAATTATAGTAAAGGAAAGAATATTTTTTTAAATTCAAAATATATATGTAATATTTAACTTGCTTAATATTTTAGGTGCCTCAACTGAATGGACTTTTTAAAAATTAAAATTAATAAAATCTTATCTAAAATCAACAATATTTAAAAAATATTATATTGATTGCCATCAAAGTCTTTTGGAAACTATACATATTTTAGTGTCCACTAGGCCATGAACAGTGAGGCATCTACTTGATATGCAAAGCACGACTTCTTATTTATTTAAGTTTAACACACAAGTTGTTGATTCTTTAATTCTCAACAAGAAATATCCAAAAAAATAAATAATTTTTTTTATATATTTCTAATATTATCCTTTTTATTTTCAAGAATTAGACTAGTACAAATATATCTATAGTTCCCACTTGTATTATTTTTAGAATCTAACAAGAATAAAATAATCTAAGTTTCACACCTTAACTGTCAATTGTTCTATTTATCTATCTAAAGTATTACTCCCTTGTATTAAAACAGACCTCGATATTGAGTTGGCCTACATGCACCTGTTGTTGAGTAGGAATAATATTTGGCCAACTTAGAATCGAGATGTGTTTTTAATATAAAGAGAGTGATAGTTTAGCTAGATAAAAGTTAACAATGGATAGTTGAAGTATGAAACTCTGTGAAAAAATGATAGCTCAAATGTATATCTTTTTTTAACCATAAACTCTTGTTTTTATTACATCTCTCTCTATTTAAAAATATTTAAACTTCAAACTTCTCATTTTATACCTAATGCCATGATTTTGTACCCACATAAAAATGTTTATGAATGTTTCAGGTTATAACAAAGGCGGAGCTAGGATTAAGAGTTTGAGGATTCTAAATTTCCTTTCGAACCGTCAATCCATTTTGCTAGGGGTTCACAAATTAATATACATATATATTTAATTAATTTTCTAATACAAATACAGGATCTATGAAAAAGTTACTGAGTTCGTCCGAACCCACAAACCCCCACTTAGCTCCGCCTGTGGGTTATATGTTTCGAGAACCTGGCTTTCTTTCAACTATGTAACCGGCCAAACACCATCGCAATCGAGGGGTCTTCAACACCTTAATACTATTTTAAAGCTTAGGAATTCAAAAGAACTATCTAACATGATCACAAGAAATTTGATACCTTCTATAACAATTTCAAGTGGATTTCCAAAATATATATTCTCCCTTTGTTTAAAAAAAAAGACTAATTACTTTCATTTTTAGTTTGTTTAAAAAAGAATAACTTCTTCCTTTTTTTGGCAACACTTTATTTTCAACTTCCAACCTGACATATTTAATTAAAACCACAAGATTAAAAAACATTTTGATACATTTGACATAACTTTAATCTAGAACCACAAGATTGAAAAAATCTTCTTTATTTTTCTTAAATTCCGTGTTAAGTCAAACTAGATCGTCATTCTTTTTTAAACAGAGGGAATATTATCCGTCTATATATATGTGTGTGATGAGGGAAAATAGCTATATCACTTCAAATAAAAACTAGCTAAACCTAAAGTATAACAAGATGGCTTTTCTTGCCTTTATGCTTCTTTTTCTACCTATGTTAGCTATGTCAATAGAGAACACAAACATGATGAGCAACAACATGGCAAAGCCTGGATGCCAAACAAAATGTGGGAACTTGAGTGTTCCTTATCCATTTGGTATCGGTATAGATGCTGGTTGCTCTATACATCCTATATTTGACATCAGGTGCAACACTTCCTCGAACCCTCCAATTGCCTATCTCAACACCGGAGCCACGAATGTACTAAACATAACAACTAAACCCATGGAGGTCATCGACATATCAACTAGCCAAATACGTATTAGAAACGTGTTGGCAAGCAAATGTTATGAAGAAAATGGTGAACTATCTGCTCAACAACTTGTGTTTCTCAATACAGGAGTGTCGTTTTTCACGTTATCTGAGAAAGATAACAAGTTGATTCTTATAGGATGTGATGATTTGGCTATGGTTTTTGGTTTTTCGTTATATGAAGGGAAGAATTTCAGCACTGGTTGTATGACAACTTGCAAGAGGTCAGGATGTGAGCAATAATGGGACATGTTCCGGGATTGGTTGTTGTCAAGCCGCGATCCCTAAGGGATTGACGACTTATTTAGGTTTTGTAAATAGCCCCGGAAACCACACTAATGTATGGTCCTTTAACCCTTGTAGCTACGCGTTCCTTGGCGATCATGAAAAGTTCACATTTAGGGGTACATCAGACTTCATGGACCCAAACTTTGTGAACAGAATAGTGAATGATGTTCCTATTGTGATTGACTGGGCAATTGGGACTAAAAATTGCAGTGTGGTTAGAAACTCAACAACTTATTCATGTATGGAACATAGTCTATGTGTTGATTCTGAAAGTGGACGTGGAGGTTATCGTTGTATTTGTGAGGAAGGATATGACGGAAATCCTTATCTTAGTCCAGGCTGTCAAGGTTTGTGTGACCATCTCATCTAAAAGTTTAAGCTGTTAGAAAGAGTCAAGCAGGTGCTTTCAGGATTTTTGTCTGCTCTGATACCATATTGAACTGTGTGACCATCTCATCTAAAAACTTAAGCTGTCAGAGGTACATTAACTTTCTGATGAACTAATTTGAGCATTCTTGTAACAGATATCGATGTGTGCAACGAGCCCTTGTGATGGAATTTGCATAAACACTCCAGGAGGGTTTGAGTGTTCGTGTCCGAAGGGATATTTTGGCGATGGAAAGAAGGGACGTGGTTGCCAGAAGGAGCATGATTTCCCCATCTTAAAGTTATCTCTTGGTATGTAAACACAATTACAATGGCATGAAGTTTCAATTTATCAAACCATAGACATAAAAAATATAAACATTAGATGATTATAATGTAGTTAGAAATTATAGAACCAAGCTCAAAATGATTTAGGTAGTTTTAGTCTTTAATTATCTTAGTCAATAAGCATATCACTATAATAGGGAGATTTTACAATTACCAGTACATGTGGAGAGGAGACTCTCCAAACTTATATATTCAACATAAACTATCTTTAACATAGGAAAAAACTCAAATATGTCATCAAACTTTGAGAAAAGATTCATATATGTCATCGGTTAAACGTTTGGTTCATCTATGTCATTTCTATTTGAGAAAAAGGTTCATTCATGCCATTATTTGTTAACGGAAAACAGTTCCAATTTTGCAAAATTATTTTTTATACGTGGTCAATTATGATTTGGCCACGTCACTAATTAAATCATTCTTTCAAACGGAAAAAGTTTAAATATGTTATCAAACTTTGAGAAAAGGCACATCTATGTCATCAGTTAAAAATTTGGCTTATCTATGTCATTTCAGTTAACAGAGATAATGACATGGATGAGCCTTTCTCAAATGGAAATGACATAGATAAACCAAATTTTTAACGAATGATATCGATGGGTCTTTTCTCAAAATTCGATGACGTATTTGAGTCTTTCTCAAAAAACAAAACCCTCTTTTGAGACACAATTCCTCGGTACACACTATGTTTCTCCTTATGACTTGAATGAATAATATAAAGAAAAAATTACCTAAATACACAACTTATTTTGTCATATTTTAAAAAATTTTCCACCATTTGAAAAAAATTACAAAAAATCCTTACTCCCTCTCCTCGGATATATCATGATGTATTGGTCGGATACATCACTTTACGTGATGCATCCATCGGATACATCATTTTACGCGATTGTATCGATTCGAAATCAAGACGCGATGTATTGGAATATTGAGTGATGTATTCGAAATTGGGACGTGATGTATATTGGATACGTTTTGTAATTTGAAAAAGAGTATGGATATGATGTAATTAGCTCTTAATACTATGTGATTTATGTAAAAATCCCCGAGACTTTGTCAAAAACAAATATCCCAAGAAACATTGTCAAAAAAACAAATATCCCAATATTTTTTTTTATTTTTGACATTCTACTATATTGATCAATTGCAGGTTTAGGTCTTGGATTGTTGTCAATACTGGTTAGTATTACATGGATATATTTCAGTTTAAAAAGAAGAAAAATTTTAAAATTACGAGAGAAATTCTTCGAAAAAAATGGTGGTATGCTATTAAAACAGCAAATGCCATCCAATTTAAACAAAGTGTTTACGATAGAAGAGCTTGAAAAAGCCACAAACAATTTCTCAGAAGATGAGATTCTTGGAGAAGGCGGAAATGGTGTAGTTTACAAAGGTGTTCTACCAGATCAACGCGTAGTTGCAATCAAGAAATCAAAACCAAATAGAAGAGTTTATAAATGAAGTCGTAATACTAACTCAGATTAACCACAAGAATGTGGTGAAATTGTTGGGGTGTTAATATCAAAGGTGAAGAAAGACCTACCATGAGAGAAGTAGCGAATGCATTGGAAGGATTCACTAAATATAATATCCGTTCTTGGGCTCATGATCTTGATCAAGAAAACGATATTCAACTACAAATGGGAGAACAAAATGATCTTTATACTGTGTTAACGCGAACTGTTCAACAAAGCTCTGAGTATAACATCAAACGTGAAGAACATAACCTTGACAATATTTCATAAATTTGTGTATTTGGATCGATGTTCATTCATTGCTAGCTATACACAGCCCAACCTGAGGGTCTTCTTTCGGAAATAGTCTTTATGCTTTCACAAATCACAACGTAGCATATGTTATAGTTGTTGTATTCGTGTTTACTTATTGCTTAATTAATATGATGTAATAGTGGTCTCTAAATGAATATCAAGTTTTAATTTTCTTATTATTGACCCCTAATCCCTTTCTAAATGTTAAAAGTAGGTTAGAGTCCTACATTGGTTGGAGAAAGGACGGGTGGTTTGTTTATATGGACTTCGGCAATCTTCCCTCATGAGTTAGCTTTTAAGGTTGAGTTATACTCAAATCAGTGGCGAATTTATGTGTAAAAATTGGGTCACCCGAACCCGTGGTCATCCGACTAAACTCGACATATTACTTGTATAATTATTAAAGAACATATTAAATAAACACTTGTGAACCCATTCTTAAAGTTGCTGGATGGTTCACTGGTTTGACAGTCAGGTTTTAACACCAAGGTCCTGAGTTCAATCTCAGCCAACCACAATTCACTTCAATTTTTGTAGTAACTAATAACACTAGTTTTTTCAAAAAAAAAAAAACGAAATTCTAAAGCAATGGTGCACCCGTTTTCTTGAAATCCTGGATTCGCCTCTGACTCAAATGTCATATCTTTATATGGTATCAGAGTCGGGTCCATCCATGTTTGAACTCTCAGTATAGTTGAGACTGGGCGAGTGTGATAAAGTGGGTTAAAGTCCCACAATAATTGGGATCGGATGGATGACTTACTTATATGAACTCGGACAATCTTCAACTTATAAACTACCTTTTGATGTTAAGTTATGTTCGATCATCATAAAAAACATGAAACTTTTCAAAAGACGGAATATATAAATGGCCCCCTAAACTTACCAAATATTTTCAATTTAGACAACTGAAATTGGGGTACTGCGACCTATTAAATACTTTAAGTTGTTGGATATTGTTCCTATTAAACGCTACGAAATGCACAAAGTAGAGGAGTTTTTCTCATTTGTCCTTATTTTGATGAACAAGATTATCTAATTAATACCTATTGCTGATGGAAGGTTGCACATATACTTCGAATGTTATGATCCTCTTTGCGATGTATTTGATCTATGGAAATTATGTTGGATAGTACTACTTCATCGTTTCTAGTTGATCTCCGGGAAGACCTATGTTGATTGACCAAGAGAGATATATAGTACCCATATCAATATATAGTTGAACGGGTAGGTAGTTCAAGTGTAGATGAACTCTCTTTGTATAATTTTAACTAAGTCATGTAAGTCATCAAATCTATCACAAAAGTTATGTAATAACGTTGTATGTTATTGGTTAAGACATGTCATTTTGGCCACTTTGTGGCTTTTAATTGATTTTTGCTTTAACTAGAAATTGTTAAATCATTTAAATACGTAACATCATTTTGCTTATCTTGAATTAGACAAGATATCATGTCACCAAATGCATAACATAAAATAAATATAATTAATAAAATCAAAATCAATTGATTATTTGACCCAACTAATTTAGATTCTACTCCAAAAGTTATTTGAACTAAATTCAATGATTTTTATATATCTACACCCCATCATTATAATCAGGGGATAACTTATTAATTTATCAATCTCCAACCAAAATGGCCCCTCAATAATCTATGTTTCCTCTAAAAGATAGCATTTTCAAACTTTACATCCTAGCTAGTCAAAGGAAGCTATAATTAAGTTTGGTGATTAAATCTTCTAGATTTTTCAATAACTAAATCTACTTATTTACACACCTAAATGAAATATGCTTCATCCAAAGTTATCTTCCAAATTTTCATGATTCTTGTATCTTGTCTACTTAGTAATTATTAATCTCATGCATGCACCTTTCAATGAAATTAAAGTTATATTAGGCCAAAAGTTTAACAATATTCACACTTTATATATCTAGGGATGCGACGGATCGATCCAACATTGTATGTGTGGAGGTTCACGGAAATTCAATAATTGGATGTCAATAAAAGTAAAAAGATATTCGAAAATAAATATATTGTTGCTTTAGATAATAATCCTCAAATCTGTTAACTTTAGGGATTAAAATAACACATATTAACTAACTGAAGGTCAAATATGTTAAATCGTATAACACAAGAACCAAAATCGCAATAAGACAATAATTTGAGGACCAGAATTATTATTTTCCTGATGTGCAATGTATAGTTAAAGACTTAAAAGGTTCGAATAAACTCAATAACTATGATTTGAACTTTGCATTATCTTAAATAACTTTATATTACGTTGACAAATTCACTAAATACGTATAATTACAAATATTAGAGTTCAAAAACCATATTACTTTCCAACAAATAAAGGTTAAACAACTTTTCAAAAAGTCCTAACTTTAACATCAATTAGAATTAGTTGGGGGAGTGGAAGGTTTTGGGAAAATGACATAACTTATTACTTTGGTATATATGGAAAGGGTGAAGGTATTTTGGAAGTTTCTTATGGTTCTTTTCTGCTTTTTTTTGCCTTTTTCCCCTCGGTGTCAGTATCCATATTAAAATCTGATTAAATTTTGAGTTGCATTGGAAATCGTGCCAAAAAGTAAAACGCTCGAAGATCTGAACCTGAGACATTTGATTAAGAATAAAGATGCACCTACCACTCCACCACATGCAATCCTGGTTGATTTTACCTATTTGTTTACTATAGTACGTACTAGAAAGGGTCAAAATATAACGAAACTAATAAATAAAAGATTTGAAGTTTTTTTATACAATAATAAAACAAAAAAAAAATAAAAAATCTACATAACTAGGTTCTCACCTTATTACAATATCAAATTTAATATAAAGAATTATCTATTGTAATAATTGGTCAACTTAACCTAATAGTGTAAAAAAAAACACTATACATTTATCCATACACCAAACTTAAATTCAACTAAATAATAATTGGACAAACTTTGACTAGCTAGAAAGTAATTAATTAATGCCTAAAAGGCCCATGCAACCAGAATTTTCCACGTTGTTTACCAACCAGTAGAAAAAATTGCCTCATTTGAATGAGTCTCTAGTCCTTATCACAATAAGTAATTTTCAAGTGTAGCTAAAGATATTGTCTAACTTTTTTTAATCAAAAAGTCACGCAGTTTTATCTTAGTATCATATAAAATACGATTAATGTAATTTTTATTTTCTCATTTAGTGTTCATAGAAAGTTTCACGTTATTTATATTAGAGTTCGATTAAATTTGAATTCGTGTGGAAAAGTCTCACATTGAGGATAGAGAGCTCCTTAATAAAGGTGATTTCGTACCCAAAACAATCGAACTCGAGACCTCTGATTAGGGATGAAGAGTACTTACCACTCAACTACATTCCTCGGTAAAACACTATATTTTTTGTTTCATCTTTAATGATTTTTTTGTGAGTTCTAAGCAATGTTGAATTACTTTTTGATTACATAAAATAGTTTAGTGATTCATGTGAAACATAAGTAAAGGAGTCTGGAACCAAAATGGAAATAAAACTAATCAAAAATTTGAAAAGGGCATATAATTTTTGTATGAAACCAAAATAAAATGTTGTCGGTAGGAGTGTTAATGGTACAATTCGATCGGTTATTTTTTCAAAATTATACCATTTCAATTTTTTTGGTATTTTATAATACATAACCAAAATTAGACTTTTTAAAATCGTCTCACTCATATCGGTTTCTCTTTGGTATCGTATGGTTCGGTTAATTTTTTATTTTTTAACTCTTAAAATATCACTTCAAAATATACTACTATTAATATATTTCTTTCACAAATATGTTGTTGAAGAAGCACTTTAATCCTTCACCAAAAAGATAAGAATGTAAACCCTTATTGTCATATTGTCTGATCTTAAATATTTAATTGGAGTGTTTGGATAGGTTTTGTTGTATTGTTTGATAGAGTATCTATTACAATATCTTTTAATTTAAACCTAATTAAGTAAAAGTTAATTAAAAAGCAAAGACCCAAAATCGCCTAGTCATCAGAGGTCTAGGACCTAAGTTATATTTATATTTGAAAAATGTTACAAAATATATTTATATATTAAATTTAACATAATATATAAAATAAAATAAAACGGCTCACATTTTCCTTCTTTTATTCTTTAGTTATTTTAATATTTTCATTCTTTATATAGTTATTTTAATACTTAGTTATGTTGATATTTTTCTAATTTCATATATTTTGAACTTTTTTTTTAATATGACACTGGGTGGACTAAGTCAATTATAAAGTGAACCTTAGGCTCTGTAGGAAAGTAAATGCACAACTATATAAGTTGGTGAAGTAAATTAATTTTCTAGTTGACAAATCAAATCTTTCACTTCATTTTGCTCTTTGATTGACTACATAATTTAATCTCCTTAAATTAATTATTCTTATGTTTAGGTAATACAATTTTGGCACTTTTTGTTAATTATCTTAATCCCTATTGGCACTCAATAAAAAAACAATTCTTTCCATTTTTTAATAATATTTCTTGACATTGATTAAACAAATAATAAAATGACAATTTTTTATTAGCTAAAAATCACATCATTTCGTTAGAATTTACTCGATATAAAAATTATTTGTAAATATAGAAATGTCATTTTCCAGCAGTAAAAAGTGAGTCGTTGAGAGTAAGTAATAGTAAGTTCTTATAAATAATAAGTTACTATATAATATACAATTTAACTTGTTTGAGATTATGTTCAATCTTTTATTGTCTTCGCCAATTTTCTAGTTCAAAGATTCTCAAAACACTTGTAAAACTAAAGGTAGTTTCTTTATCCAAACAAAACAGAAGTCAATTTGTACCTTTAATTATTCCCCCATTATAAATAATAAGTTACTATATAATATACAATTTAACTTGTTTGAGATTATGTTCAATCTTTTATTGTCTTTGCCAATTTTCTAGTTCAAAGATTCTCAAAACACTTGTAACTAAAGGTAGTTTCTTTATCCAAACAAAACAGAAGTCAATTTGTACCTTTAATTATTCCCCCATTAATTGTCTTTGGTCTTCACCAAATTATAAGATTATTGTGTTTATTTGGGTCCCATCCTTTGACAAAGTAGTAAATTACTCATTTAACTTCTTAATTTCTTCTACTTTTCTTCACACATTTATAAGTTAATATTAGATACTGGGATCTGATGTATATTATTCAATTTTATTGACTATTTAATTATCGAGTAATTGTGTCTGGTATTCACATTGGAGTCTGACTAAATTTGGGTTTGCGTCAGAAAGTCTCACATTGGGGGTAAAACGCCTTCTAACAAAGGGAACTCAAACCCGAGATCTCTTGATTAAGAATAAAGGAGTACTTACCATTTCATCACAACTGATCTTGTCGGTAAGTTGACTTACAACACTTGTAGTTCGATATCCATATCAAGCATGATATAGACATGTTAGCTAATTAAAATAGTTGATTAGCATCGATTGTTGAAGTGGGAATTCTTTTTTATATAGGTGGCGATGAAATCCGATCTTAAGACCACTGTTTGCTCTGATATCATATTGAAATGTGTGATCATCTCATTAAAAATCTTCAATTGTTAGAGAGAATACACTTTTATTATTTAATTGTATTATCAATATCATTAAACTTTTTTTTTTAATACTTTTATTTATTATAGTTAAATGAGATCTAATCGTCATATGTCAGGATACTACCTATATAACAATACATCACTATAATAATTATGAAATTTCAAACGAATGCTACCACTACAATCAGATTTTAACTGTACTATTAAAAGTGACATGATAATTCACTAGATTTTAATTGTACTATTATGAGTTACATGATAATTATAGAAATATTTTGTATATTAATTATTAATGCATTGAACTTGAACTCATATAGTACTAATCATAACTAACTAACTATTGGTTTGTTTCCTTTAATTAATTAATTAATTAATTAATACTTTTTCAAACTTGGAATGCCATGCAAATCAATTTAATCTACAATTCGTACATGTTAGGTAACCTACCCAAATCAATTACCTTGAGCCAACTTAATTAATTTCTCTATCCAATAATTTACGAAAAATTCCCTATAAATACTTAGACATTTCTCAATAACTTGTGCACACCACACTTTATTCTTCTCTATTTTTATTATATTTTCCACTCTCTAAATATTAGTCAACTTTTGTAATGGCTTCTTCAAAAAATAATACTATGGTTTTTTTATTTTTGCTTGTGACCTTACTAATTGGAAGTTCATCAGCACAACTTTCAACTAGTTTTTACTCAAAATCATGTCCTAAACTTTATCAAACTGTGAAATCAACAGTGCAATCAGCTATCAAAAAAGAAACCCGAATGGGCGCTTCGCTTCTTAGGCTTTTCTTCCATGATTGCTTCGTTAACGTAAAAATATCCCTACCATTTTTTGTTAAATTTCTTATTTCTTCATTATTTTATAGAATTTTCTTTGTTTTGACTCTGACGTTTATGCATTAGTATAGTAAGGTGGTTATTATATTGTAGTCCAAAAAAAAAACTTTTCATATCTGGCACCAATATAATAAATCTCATAGAGTGAAGTATGGTCAGTTATATTAGAATAACGTTTTATCAAAAAAATATATTATATATATAAATCGAATTAGTTAACATCCTTAGTGAAACTTTTCACATAGGTATACATACTATTCATCAATTGGTCACATGTATCATTCATTTGTTATTATATGTACTTACAAAAATATTTTGTCTGTTTATTATACTAAAAATATATGTTCAGTTTTACTTATCAAATTGAAGAAGTCAAGAGATGATTTATTACTTAATTTTTAATTTATTATTATTAGTAACTATAGTTAATTTTCCAAAGCTTAAAGAGTGTTATAACTAGTAAAATTGTCATTTTATTTATTACTCCTTAAAAGATATGTTAGGTCAATACTGGATTGAACAAGTAAAAATTAACGTAGTGAGTAGTTTTGAATAGTTAGCCCCTACTACTTTGTTTTTTGGTTATCTAAATTACTGCTCAATTTTTTTCTCTTTTAGGGATGTGATGGATCACTACTCCTTGATGACACATCAAGCTTTACTGGAGAAAAAAGGGCTGCTCCAAATGTGAACTCTGTTAGAGGATTTGAAGTCATTGACAACATCAAATCTGCTGTAGAAAAGGCATGCCCCGGCGTTGTTTCTTGTGCTGATATTTTAGCTGTTACGGCTCGTGATTCTGTTGTCATTGTAAGTCCTAGTTACTTCCCAATTTCAATTTTGAGATAATTACGGACCTGAACCATTTATCGTTTAGTTTACATACTTTTCATTTTAGTCGATTAAAAAAGTCATTTTTTTATTTGACAAATGTTTAATAATAGTCTCAACATTTTATCTATAGTGGGTCCCACTTATTTGGTAAAAAGTCCACAAAAGTGTATTCTTTTATTTAAAAATTTATTTATTTTAAGGATAATTTTTAGAACATTGCAAAGTATTTCCGTATTTCTTAAATTTCATGTTCAATCAAACTACATCACACAAATTAGAACAGAGAGGTACAAAGTTTATAGGTAGTATATACTTTATACTAAATATACATATAATATACATATCTATACACTATATATACAATAGCAGTGCCTATCAATGTATATGCTGATATGTATATATTAGAAATTTTAGTAGCTCGGTTGATAGGTTACCTGAACTTTCACCACCTTAAAATAGAGGTAGTATATATTATTATAAGGATTGACTTTTCAAGTAAAACAAATGTATTTTAAAGTTTATTTTCATCTAATTATTTTTGTGACTTATGTAGCTTGGAGGGCCTAATTGGAATGTAAAATTGGGCAGAAGAGATGCCAGGACTGCAAGCCAAGGTGCTGCCAACAGCAGCATTCCAGCTCCTACTTTTAACCTAAATAGACTCATCTCAAGTTTTAGTGCTGTTGGCCTTTCTACCAAGGATATGGTTGCCTTATCTGGTTTGTTCTTTTTCCCCTACTTTTTTTCTTATTTATAATGATGGTCGTGTCCGAATCAACTTGCACTCTTTCTGATACTACCTAGTACCTAACATAAGTAGAGATATTCTATTGGGTAACTATGCACATCAAGACTTATTAGTCAAAAATCATAAGGGGAAAGTATATCTTAACAGGAGGATTACCGTTACAAAATTTCAAACTCAAGACTTTCACTTAGGGGGCCGGGGGGTGGGGGTGTAATTTCGTTTTTGATCTATCTCACCATACTCCTCCTGCAGTAGTGTAGTCACATATAGCTTAGGGTATCCAGTTTGTCAAAATATATAGAAAGAAAATTATACAAAATATATTGGTCAAAAGTTATTTTCAAACATATATATTAAATCTTGAACATGCTTAACGAAATTTCTGACTTCGTCACTGCCTCCGACCTCAGTTACTTTAAACAAAGTTCTTTTATGGATAACATTTACGGTGATTTGGGTATCTTGATTGACCTATATCGACAAATTCATAATATTAGGGCTTGAGAATGAAGATCTAACATTAGTGATATCTCTAAAAGCTAATAAGCCAAATATTGGACAAATTATGAACGAATATGTAATTACCGAATCGAAGTTTAATTTATCGTATTACTGAACTTTGAAAGTTTGTTTTTTTAATAAGTATCTACTTTCAATTACCAATTGTGAAATCAAATTTTAAAAATACTGAACATCCGCCCTGAATACACTCCACCCTCCAAAAACAGAGGAAATTTCATATATAAAATTTGATTGTTTCTATGTTTGTGTTTCATAGGTGCTCACACAATTGGACAAGCAAGATGCACAACATTTAGGGCACGTATATACAATGAGACCAACAACATAGATTCATCATTTGCAAGAACAAGGCAAAATAGTTGTCCAAGAAACTCAGGATCAGGTGACAACAACTTAGCGCCTCTAGATCTTCAAACACCTTCGAAATTCGATAACAATTACTTCAAGAATCTCGTGAATAAAAAGGGTCTTCTACATTCCGATCAACAATTATTCAATGGGGGATCTGCTGATTCGATCGTTAGGTCTTACATCAATAATCCTAGTAGTTTCAACTCTGATTTTGTGACTGCTATGATCAAGATGGGCGATATTCGTCCACTTACTGGATCGAATGGTGAAATTAGGAAGAACTGTCGTAGAAGAAATTAAGTGTTGAATATTGGTATTAAGTGTGTGTGTGTGTGTGTGTTTTAAGTGTGGAAAATGCCCATTTTGAGTTTGAGACGTGTGATTTTGTTTTACTATATAGTTTAATTAGTCAAAGTTTTCTTTCTTAATATGATAGTTCAATGTGTGTTAAAGGCTTAAAGCATTTTGTATTTGTATCACTATTGGAATATTATGAATAACTTAAACACACTTTTTGTTAGTCAAAGATTACTGCAAATCTTTTATTAGTATTATCGGATATAGACATTTTAACTTGGCCTCAACTGATAACTAATCACTTGACATTTTAATACGGAAAAAATGTATTAAGGGTGAATTGATCCCCGAGTCCTCAAGGTACGTGACTCAACATTTAATCGAGTGCGCCATTTAGCATTGATATCAGAATTTTAGAAAAAATATATAAAAAAATATCTAGTTTCATAGATTATTATAGATTTATCTTCCCCATATTTTGCATATAAATTCGCCCTTGAGTTGAACACTCCAACTTACAAAATGATCATCTAGACACCTTCAAAATTTATGTGTTATGTTAACATGAGGTCTTCATTGGACACACGGTGAAAATAAGTTGAATTGCTTAGATATGCTTTCAATATTGGAATATTATTAATTGTCAATTATGATCAAGTTAAAATACGTATTTATATATTATATACTTACAAAAATATCGATGTAATAGCAAATAAACAACTTTTTATGATAAATTTCATTGAAATGTAAATTGATTTTATCATGTTAGTATACATAACTTAAATCTTATATCTTATACTCACACCTATAAGAACCACAATATATTATTTTTTTCAACTTTTTTTAATTGATGGGTATTCAACAGCCCCACTCTTTTGTGCACTTAATTTTCCACCTACAAATTAATGCAAACTCTTATTTTATTATATTGGACTGCAGGATTAATTAAATAAATAAAAAGAAATAATAATATATATTCTTAACTCTGCTGATACTTTTCATCCATGGTTTTTTTTAAAAAAAATTAAATCAAAATACTCAATGTTCAAGTAGAGAAAATAAATGGAAAAATAAAATAAAAAATGGTAAAAACTTGAGAGCCAGACAAATATATATTATAAAATTTATCTTGGGCAGTATTCATTACAATTACAACAATAAAAAAAAGGGAAAAAATATCTTGACATAAACTTAAAACTGGGAAATGAGAAAGAAAAAAAAAACATTGCACACACTTCACACACCATTAATTCAAATTAAAACTATTCAAATCTGATAAACACCATAGAAATTCAAATGATAAATTCACTGCTTCTGGCTCGAACTATATAGTATACATAAAAATACTTGGGTACACTGACGAAATTCATCATGTCGATGTTATTCAATTTGCTTCAATCATATTGAAGTATTTCACAAATGGTCACTCAATTTTTATTTTATTACAATAAAAGTCACTAAACTATTTTTCGTAACAAAGAAAATTATTCAATTTATCTAAATATCACCGAAAGTCAATAAACTAATTTTGTTACAAACAAATCACTCATTTGCCTAAGTATCATATAAAATGTCTCTTGTGTTTCCTCTTGATGCCTTTTTGTGATACTTGGGCAAATTTGAGTGATATTTGTTTAGTGACTTCCGTGAGTTTTCTATAAGTGAACTGACTTTTTCGTTACAAAAAATAATATGATGACTTTAGTGCAATAAAGTAAAAATTGAGTGATCATTTATGAAACTAACCTGTTCGTCATTTTATATTCCTAGAAGCACGAATCCCAATAAAGGACAACAATAGTTTCTTCACTTTCCTCATAGAGTAGTAGCTAACTCGAAATCGCCTGGATTTATTCTCATGTGTCGAACCAAAGCACTTATGTGTAGACGTTGGCGAATCATCAATTGCCACGTGGGGATTACTCTCGAAGTTCGTTAAGTTTGAACTATACGCGAATAGTGGCATGGAAGACATAGAGAATGATGACGAACGAGATGAGGAGGGAGATAGGGAAGCAATTGATGGAGAAGAAGTGATTCTCTTGGAGAAAATTGAGCGATAAAACTTAGGTTTATTTGATCGTAATTTTTGCAAAGAATTTAAATGTACATTAAGGGATTGATTATTAATATTATTATTATAAGAAGGTGGAGGAGTAAGTGGAGGATTTAATAAAGTTGAATTTGAAAATTTATGTTTAGGGGTACCTGGTTCAGATTCCCAATGAAATGGAATTGAACTAGATGAAGAAGATCCTCCATAATAATAAAACCTAAAAGAAGACTCACCTTTATTGGAATTTTCCTTAGACAAAAGTCTTGAAAAGAATTTGTCATCATCTTTAATTAGAAGAAAATCTTGTAAATATTGTGGACGACGATCATTATCAGCACCATCATTAGTCATCACCATTTGGATCAAAGAACGATCGAGAATTTGATCAAGATATATTATATTCTGCTTCGATCGATAATTCCAACCCTCTATGTTTCTTGGATGAATTAGAGGAGAAGGAAAATTAAGAAGATTTTTTGTATCATGCCATAATTGGTCAACTTGATGCAAATATAATTAAGAAGATTTAGAGGGGTGTTAATTGAATTGAATGAGTCAAAGAAATTGTGATGTTTATAGAAGAGATCGATTGAACACAACGTTTCAACTAATTATGTGTATGTTGAGTTATTCAATATTTAAACTAATTTAAGTAAGGCATGGTGCATTTTGTTGTGTGTCAATTAGTTAGTATGTCACGTACTTTTTAGTTTAATGAAATTTAATACTGTTGGCCAGTAGCTATAACTAGTAAAGCATCTTACTTAAATAAATTTAATTTTATTTATTGGCGATTTGATAGTAGAAAAAAGAAAAGTTGATATATTTTCATAGTTGACTGACTCAATAGTAAGGGTGTACATACGTCAGGTTAGTTGAGAAAAGTGAGATTTGATTGGAGAGTAAAGGTATGCATTATAAAAAAGAATGAAATTAACTATGAATTTTGTCGTTAATATGTGGTGAAATAGTTCGTAGCTAAACTCATATGTATCATAAAATAAACTATAATTTTGCCCCTATAGTTAGGGACAGAGTCATAATAAAGATTATGAGAGTTTGGCAGAATTTAATATTTTTATCTCAAAATTTTATATTTATATTAAAATTTTTAGTTAATATATATAATAATGTACCATATGAACCAAGTAAGGGGAAAAAATTATGATTCGAAACTCATTAACTAAAATTTTTGGATTTACTTCTATTGACATGGCCAGAAGCGGATCCACATGTATAGGTTGGGGTGCACGTGCATCCGTTAATTTCAAAAAAAATCATGTGTATATATGTATATTCATCTTGAAAAACTGACAGATACTAAAATATATTGAACAGTGCACTATGAGGAGCATAGAAATGCACTTGGGTTGCTGGTACAAGCCAAAGCACCCACCTGCTAACCAGAGTTCTATCTCGGCTAGAACCCTATTTTGTTGTTTTTATTACAAGTATTAGCTTAGAGCTCATATTTAATCTATATATTGTATTTAATATTTTTAGTATAGTTCAAGATATTAGTGATCAATTGAATACTACATTATCCGATAATTGTACTTGAAAGTATCGCTAACACCTAACTTAAGATAATATTGATCCCCCGGAATTTTCAAATTTTAAGTTTGCCTCTCATGGCCTTAGTATTCAATGTCATGTGCTACTATACATAACAAGTTGTTAGAGTTTCCTCATCAAGGGTAGCAAAGAACTTTTATAAACAATTGATAAACATACCTATTTGTACACTATAGTCTATAAATAACATAATTATTTGTACCTAACCATTATGAATTACTTTTATGTTTGATGGCGACTTTTTCTAGACAAAATGATCAAACAAATACCCCTAATTTCTGTTAAAAAATAATTGATATCCCTAATTTCTATAGACGAAGAGTATGAAGGTTGTTGATTAGAATAGAAGGCTAGTAGGTAGTTAAACGTCGTCTCGTTTTTTGGAGATTAAGTTTTGTGGGAGTCTAGAGCACTGTGTTTGTCGTAGTATTAGCATTATTCATGTAATTTCTTGCATTTGATATTTGTTACTATCTATTTTGTCTATATTGTGTTTGGATTACCACATTATTTTGTTGTTGTTACTGTTTTTTTTTAAATGCTTTGTACGGTTTTTCATATTAGTTTTCTTGTTTTCTTCACTGTTGTATTTTCTTTTTATAACTATTTTGATTTGCTTCAATTGGGTCGAGGTTCTTTCAAAAACAGTTTATCAACCTCTATGAGATATAATAAGATTTATTTACACTCTATTCTTTTCATACTTCACTTGTGAAATTACACTGAATATGTTATTGTGTGAACTCAATAGAGATTCTTAAGTCACTCACTGTAAGCACTCAATTTAATTATTTGTATCTCTAAATCACCAATCACTATCAATTAATCTATCTTGTCTCTTTTTTATTTTATGAAATTGACTGAATAATTATCATTACTTGCTAGAAACATGACTTTAAAGTTTAATGTACCATGTGTTTACTTAATTTCAATACTAAGACTTCACATTTCCATTAAAATAACCCCACGATATTTCTCTAGAGTATTATACATATAAATGTTCTTGAAATAATAATTTTTTAATTTATTTATCAAATACTATCAAATAAAAATTATTTTCCTTCGAACCAAACACACTCATTTTCTCGTGGTCGAACTGAATAATTGTTAAACTTTGAAGTCCAAAAAGGCATTTAGACTTTTCAAATGAATTAGTTAGACATAACACACTCATTTAATAAAAAAACTTGAGTATTCAATTTCTCGTGGCCGAACTGAATAATTGTTAAACTTTGAAGTCCAAAAAGGCATTTAGACTTTTCAAATGAATTAGTTAGACATAACACATCAATTACAAGAATCTAAAACCAAATACATTAACTATATATGCAAAATTTACGAATTTTAAAATAAAAATGTTACTTGCTCAACGTGTTATGGTTTTTAAATTACTAGAGACATCTCTTTCATTTCATGAGGACGTATTAACATACCACTAGGGATGGGTGTTTGTGTTATTCAAATTGGATGTGAAAATTTTAGTTTGAAGTTTTAATTTTTGAATTGGAAAAATGATAATTCAAATAAATTTGGATGGACTTTGATTTATTTAGTTCTGTTTTGTATTAATCAGTTTGGATATTTCAAATTTTTGGTTTTGATTATCCACTTTCTCCTTATATTTGACTCCTCTTCATTTCTCTTCTGCCCATTTCTCCCAAGTTTCTATTTAGATGTGTGACAACGGACACCTATGTTACCTAAATATCAAAGGTCTTGATTAATTAGTTTAATTTCTTAATGAAAAGAAGTATATTAATTAATCATGTTTAAAAGACGAGATGTTGGTACTTAAGTTTCCCAACTTTGTTAAAAAAATATTCATTTTCCAAAATTTTGAAAATGGATGGAATTACTTAAATAGAATTAAACTCTGAGAGAAGTATTTTATCTATCTCTATTTATTTACTCCCTCCGTCCCTATTTAGTTGTTCACTTTAGAAATGACACACATATTAAGACAACAATAATTAGCATAGTGAAGTTACAATTTTACCCTTATAGTACAATTTACTTCCAAAATAAATTCACTCAAAATAACTAATCAATGCTAAGAGTTCATAAGTTTATTTACTTTATTTATGACAACTTTTCACTTTAAATAAGGGTATAATAGGAAAAAAATTGTTGTCCTTTCTTGATTTGTCAAAATGGACAACTAAATAGGGACAACTAAAAGAGGAAATATGGACAACTAAATAGGGACGGAGGGAGTATCTACTTTTGAATTGACACACTTATTAATTATGAAGTGGATGAATTATAAATTTAAAATTTTCAATAAGTTCTACATTTTTCAAAATAATTAATTGAGGGTATAATAGGTAAAACAAATGTCTTTTCTTTATTTGTCAAAATGGACAAATAAAAAGGGATAATTAAAAAAGGAAAATTGGAACAAGTAATTCGGGTCAGTGGGAGTTAGGGGTGGGCATTTGGTTCTTCAGTTCGGTTTTATCAAACTTCGATTCGATTCTTCGATTTTAGAAAAATGTGCACCGTATTCCAAACCAAACTAATTCGGTTCGGTTCTGTTTAGTTCAATTTATTTCAGTGTTTTTAGATTGGTTTTTTGGTGCGGATGATAAATAAATGAGGACAAAATCAAAGTATAAGATACTTAAAAATTTAAAACTTTGTTGAGGAATGATGTGTTTCTCCATGGAACACTTATTGTGCTAACTAAAAGACTATATTTGTCTTTGTCAAGAACATTGTGCCTCCAACTATTTCTCGAGAAAAACAAGGACGAAGACGGATTCCTATGTACATTGATAAAAATATGTTTGGGTTCCTCTTGGTGATTAATAGTTGAAGTTAATTATTGAATTGTAAATTTGTTGCTACTCTGATTTGTTCATAAATGATTTAGTTGTTAGTTGACCTTTTATTTTTAGTTTAGAGAATGCCCATATATATGGGCATTCTTCAGTGCACCGAAGAACCGAACTTTTAAAAAAATAAAACCGACGCTGAATCGAAAAACCGAAACCGAAGAACCGAATTAGTTCGATTCTGTTTGGTTTCCGGTATTTATGTCCGCTAGTAGTGGGGAGTATTGAAAACACCCTTGAATTTGGTATGAATTATTAGTTTCGTCCCCAAATTATTAATATTCTTAAAATACTATTCTACTTGATTAACTGAACCTAAATACACATCCGATCTGATATGTTTCATCCCCGAACCACTGGTGGACCAAATATTGTCTATCCAGTCCAGTACGGGATCGGTCCAAATTTTATGTGGTTGGAACTAGGTCAACCCGGCCCAATTGACACCTTTTACTAAGATAAATACTACAAAATCACACATTAATTTAATTACATAAAGGAGTAACCTTTCAATTAGTAATGCCATCAGACTCAACAATCCATTAATATGACAGCATTTAGAAAGATACTCCTTCCGTCCACTTTTAATTGTCATATTGTGTTTTTTGAAAATTAATTTGATTAATTTTTAAAATTAAATTAGATTATATTAATTTGATATTTTAAACAAAAAATTTAGATATTCAAAAATTATACGAAAAGTACTATAAATTGTGATTTTTTTGCATATCATTATGATGAAAAAATACATCGTAAAATGTTAGTCAAAGTTTTTATAGTTTGATTGTAAAAAAGAAACCATGACAATAAAAAATGAACAGAGGGAATAAAATTTAGACATTTGATTATAAAAATATGCACCATTGATATTTAAATACGACAAGTATGATAAATCTAGATAGGAAGTTGGGGAAAATGTAGAAATATAAGAGAAATGAAAAGGAGGC